TAACACAATGAACTCAGCCCTCGCCTGCGGCGGCAGGGCAGCAGCAGCAGCAGCAGCAGCAGCAGCAACAGCAGCAGCAGCAGCAGCAGCAGCAACAGCTGTCACTGGCTCAACTGCAACACCGCGACCCTCCCAAGCTGCAGCAACAGCAGCAGCAGCAACAGCAGCAACAGCAGCAGCAACAACAGCAGCAGCAGCAGCAGCAGCAGCAGCGCCGCTGCCACCCCTAGTCAGAGCCCTAGCAGCTCCGTGCGAGTTATACACACCCCGAAGTAGGGGGCCCCTTCAGGGGGCCCCCGGGGGCCCCCTTCATGGGGCCCCCCCAGGGGGCCCCCTAGGGCCCCTGCAGCAGCAGGTACTGACAGCTGGTTGGGGTGTTAGCAGCAGCAGCAGGGCCCCCAGCAGCAGACTGCAGCGCTTCTATTACTCTTCGCTGCAGCAGCAGCATTTGTTGCCTCTCTCTGCTGCTGCAGCAACAGCAGCAGCAGCAGCAACAGCAGCAGCAACTGCAGCAGGAAGCAGCAGCAGGCATGTTGAGCGGGGAGCTACTCAGATGCTGCTGCAGCTGCAGCGGCACTCTCAGCTGCAGCAGCAGCAGCACCAGCAGCAGCACGTGCTGCAGCAACTACTGCAGCAGCAGCAGCAGCAACAGCAGTTTTTATTTTGCTTGTCATCCGTCTCTAACAACCAATATCGCTTCCTAAGCAGTGCAGCAGCAGCAGCAGCAGCAGCAGCAGCAGCAGCAGCAACAGAACCAGCAGCAGCAGCAGCAGCACAAACCCGGAGCCCCTCTTCAACCCCATCTGAGAGCACAGCATCTCCCCACCCACCCAAGCAGCAGCAGCAGCAGCAGCAGCAGCAGCAGCAGCAGCACCAGCACAAGCAAGAGGAGCCGAAGGGGCCCCACAGGAGACCAGCAGCAGGGGTGGGGGGGGGCCCCCGGGGGGCCCCCCGGGGTTCAGCAGCAAAGACAGGGTTTATAAAAACAGCAGCAAAACAAATTAAAAAAATTACACAGAAACTACTCAAACTCCTCTGGCGGTAAACCCTAAACCCTAAACCCTAAACCCTAAACCCTAAACCCTAGAGAGAAAGATGAAGCGGTGGTTTCTGTGTTGATAGATAAAAATAAATTTATTTTTTTTATTTTTTTTGTTTGTTTTTGTTTTGTTTATTTAATATTATTTGTTTGTCTGTTTCTGTTTAATTCTTTTTTTGTTTAATTTATTTTTATTTATATAATTAAATTTATTTGTGTTTGTTATTTCATTTATTTGTATTTATTTATTTATTTATTTATTTATTTATTTATTTATTTATTTATTATTTTTTTTTTTATTTATTTTATATTTATTTAAATTACTAATTAAATTATTTTTATTTCATTAAATTATATTAATTTTTTTTTATTTTTATATTTTTTTATGTATAGCTAATTACCTCATTTATTTTTTCTTGTTTATTTTATTTATTTATTTATTTACGTTATATATATATATATATATATATATATATATATATATATATATATATAG